ATACTTCGTGACTTGGTAGCACGGAAGAGAAAAATTATGCGATTTCGTGATCTTTATAAACTAAATGGATGAAAAAGTCAAATTCACGATGGATGCGGAAGAGAACGGGCACTTACCGTTCTTGGATGTGGAGGTCATTAGCTCCGAAGAAACTCTCAAGAAAGAACTTTTCCTAAAGTAATCGCATGCTGGAATAGGTCTTAACTACCAGTCGAAGCATACTTACGGGATGAAGATTGGAATACTCCGGAGTATGATCATAAGAAGCTTACGACTGATCGATCTCGAGTTCTGGGAAGAGGAACTAGAAAAAGCAATCCAAATGTTTCTTGGAAACGGATATCCAAAAGAAACAATACAACGCAACATACAGATGGTGATGAACAGCTGGAAAGACGGAGACTATGAAAGGAAAGCAAGAGGAGCAGAATACCAAATATGGATATGTCTACCCTCCTGCGAATTGACTCGGAAGCTACGGCCGATACTAGGGAAATGGAACATTCGTACAATCCTGAAGGAAAGGACAACCTTCTTCACAAGTTTGCTCACACAACATGAAGAAGTCGACAGAATGGAGTGCTCCGGAGTTTAACACTTAAACTACAAGGACTGTGAACACAAATACATCGGAGAGACGGGAAGGACAATCAGCACAAGGATCAAAAAAGACAAACGACTATGTAGAAAAATGGATACAGAAAGACCGGAGATAGCTGAACACATCCCCATTACCGGCCACACACAAGGGGAAGATACCAGGAAAAGGAAGATCAGGGAGGCTGTGGACACCCTCTTCCAAAGAAACCTGATTAACAGGAGGTTGGAGGAGGGAAGAGTCAGCGATAATTTCGCGTACTGCCAGAGCAGACTTGGAGATTCAGCGAAGACATCCAAAAGAGGACGCTTGGAAAAAAAGGGAAGGGGCAGAATGAATGTCAGCAGCCCTGAAAATGGCACCTGGTACCGGTGGTGGAGATGATTACGTTTCACTAAACTCACTTGCAGTGACACACTCTTAGGCGACATTAGAGCAGGCGAGAGCATAGAATTGTGTGAATAAGTGAATGATTATGAAGTGAGGTTAAGAGAAAGACATGCGGAACTAGAGGGTAGAACAAGAAATAGAAGCGAAGAGTGATGCTACAACGGTTGAATAAAAAATCGGTCAGGGCGATTGCCTTCACTTGTCACTTTGCAAAGTTGTAACTCTGTGCTTACGATGACGTCTCTCATTGACGATGCTGACGAAACGTTTGCGAATGTACCCAGCCAATGGTCTAATGCTGGAAATCATGAATACTATGGCAGAGGACACGGGACTACGTACGTTTCACAAGGTTTCCCTAACGCTCCGACCAAGTTGCGCAAACAAGGCCGAACCAGCATTATAAAGATATGAAGACCAAGATGTTGTGGCCTCTGGTATGGTCGCAATCTCCTTTCGATTTATAGAAGTGGTTTAACCTCGTCGTCGCAACTTGGTATTGTTGTCAGGGAGACTTAGTAGAACGCACCTAGTCCCAAGTCGTTTGCCATAGTAGTTGTCATGATTCCCAGCACCTGGCAGTGAAAACTTGCTACATTCTCAAACGTTCCACCGCCATCGAAGTTGTAATAGAGCGGGAATTGGATAAGATGGTAAAGAGTAGATAGATAGACCAGGACAGAAAGAGGAGTGATAGTGTAACCGTTTTCGGCAGAACGCTTGTCGAGGGATTGACTTGACTTGTCTCTTTGACGAATTCGTAGCTTGGAGCGGAGAACGGCAAAGCTCACTGATGATGCCGACTACGATGCCGGCGAAACATTTGAGAATGTATCAAGTCCACTGTTGGATGCTGGGAATCATAGCAACTACTATGGCAGACGACTTCGGACTATGTGCGTTCTACTTAGTCGCCCTGACAACAAGACCAAATTGCGACAACGAGGTCAACCCACTCAGCATTATAAAGTTGAAGAAAACTTTGACCAAACAGAAGGCCACACCATCTTGGTCCCCATATCTACAAAGCTTAAGCGAAATTAAATGACATCCTGAAACTTATTCATCTCATTCTGGGAAAATTCAACAAACAGCCCTTCATCACCTCGTCCGACCTTATTGTCTAATAGTCTCTAAATCTCCTTACTATGAATATATGTGATGTAGTAGATTGGGGTCATATAATACAAGTTTGTCTCTTCTCCAATCCCACTACAACAATGTGATATGAGAGCTCGTTACTATGTGGCGTATCGGAGGAAGGTGAAATAGGAAAATGCGAATACTTCGAGTATCCGGGCTAATGCCGAAGGAGAAGATTACACTTGTTCCTAGGGTGAGTTGTGTTTTGGTGTCCAGCCCAGGCAGACCATGGATTAAGATGCCGACAAAGCTGGTCTTTGGATGCTAGGACGGCAGATGGATACAGCAACACATGTTGCCTCCTCCGGAAGTATGCACAGCCATGTCGAGAGGACGAGCTCAAGCCGGCTGTCTAGATGGCTGCGCAGCAACCAGTTCACATAGTGCCGGACCATGTGGGCCTCGACGGCTTATCTGACAGGGCAGGTTGCATTTTCGCTCTGCCACTCACTCTTTCGGCACCCGTCCACCTGGACCCAGGGTCGGGTCAAGTTCCGATGCCAGTATCCGGCCGGACATATACCTCTAGTCTCCAAGTCAACGGGACAGGCGCCATGCCAACGCTTCCTTAAAGACCTATATGGGATTCATCCGTCCCCTTATGGTGAGATCGACCTACGAATATCTTCTTCATGCACTTTCATACGAAATGAAAGTCCCTCCATAATAGAAGTGGGTTGACCTCGATGTCGCAACTTGGTCTTGTTGTCAGGGCGACTATGTAGAACGCACCTAGTCCGAAGTCGTCTGGCCTATTAGTTGTCATGATTCCCAGCATCTGACAGTGGACTTGATACGTTGTCAAACGTTTCGCTGGCATCAAGTCCACTGTCAGATGCTGGGAATCATGACAACTACTATGGCAGATGACTTCGGACTGGGTGCGTTCTACATAGTCGCCCTGACAACAAGATCTTGAGAAATAGCGCCAGGAGTGAAAGGCACACAGGGACTGGACCCGAGTGAAATCGGTCAACCAGAAA